TCTTCTTGAAATTTAACTACTCAATCATGCTGCAATTTCTGAACTATTTGCAGAATTGTGTATCCATTTTACGTTTTTGTTTTGGGAGATAAAGCTTTCACTTATTGCCCTGCAGGCTCTAGATTCTGATATGAATATAAGTACGCGTCTCTGAATTGTAGCCTTTCGAGTATAGTGCAACTCGATGTTCTGTTTTCGGGTTGATTTTCTTGTATGTGAGATTGTAACAGCTATTTGTATCTAATGTCTTTATCTACTACATTAGTCTATTAGAACATTTAGTTGGTTTCTGAGAGTATTCTCATACCATCACTCAGGTTGAAGTAACAGTGTACTATCGTAATGTGAGTTGTAGACATGTAATTCTTAGTTAGGTTCATCACTGACCTGTCTGAGTGCTGCTGATCATGTAGATTATGGTTTTTATGTTGGAAGCCCATGACGAAAGTAGATTAAGCTTGCCTAGTAGCTATTGGTAGTGTTTTAAGTAATCTGAGATCTGAAATTTGCAGGTAGTTCTCGACTTAGATGAGACACTAGTGAGTGCGTATGAGACGTCAAGTCTATCTGCTGCTTTACGTACACAAGCCATTGAAGCTGGATTGAAGTGGTTTTAGCTCGAGTGCATTTCATCAACCAAGGTTTTTCCTACATAACAAATGCTTCTTAGTTCTTAGGTCGATTAATTACGTTTGTTGATGGGCAAACAATATAACTTCTCTGCCTGAAGGAATGCAACGGGAAGCCTAAAATCAATTATGTTACAGTGTTTGAGCGTCCAGGGTTGCACGAATTCTTAGAGCAACTCAGCCAATTTGCACATCTTATTCTTTTTACCGCTGGTCTCGAAGGTTCTCTTGAGTTACTTACTTCTTCTCAGTTTTATCATTCTCTGTTCTCGGTCAAGTGTTTTAATACGATCCTCACATCTGCAGATTATGCTAGACCGCTTGTGGACAGAATAGATGCCAAAAATGTATTTAGAGACCGGCTTTATCGACCTTCTACAGTCGGCACGTAAGTTGTCTTGAATAGATGATCTGATCAGTTTTTCTAATGTTGGATATTGCGATGTATATATTGAATATTCTCTGCATTTCATTTTCCCATCAGGCAATAGGGAGATCATGTGAAGGATCTATTATCCGCATCGAAGAATATGTGTAGGGTAGTTATCGTCGACAACAATCCTTACAGCTTTGTTTTACAACCTCTAAACGGTATTCCATGTGTTCCGTTTTCCGCAGAACAGCCAAATGATACTCAGGTATTCAAATCTAAACTCATTTGTTCATATAATCTCGATATAACATTATATCATCCCTTGGGAATCTAATGAGACCAAAAACATATTTGAAGCTTCTGGACATTATACATCCATTGCTTAAGCAAGTTTCAGAAGTAGAAGATGTAAGACCAGCTCTTTACGAAAGATTTCACATGCCTGAATGGTTCGAAAAGCATGGCATACCGCGGTCGTGCTGGACATCGTCACAACTCCCTGAACCGAAATAGTTGGAAATCTCTCATAGCTCACAACATTGGGGATAGTGTTGATAGGTCTGATTAGACAAATTGTTCATGGACTGACATAATTTGTAGTACTGTTTTATATGTTTAGAATGAAAAAAATCCAATCCGCGGGTTGGTCATGTTGGTCATGTTAACATGCGGGTTGGTCTACATGACCAACATGGCCAAGGACTTAGATCCAAACCATTTTAAATCTTGAAACCTTCCATAATTAACTCAACAAAAAAACCCCTAATTAGATAGAATTCACAAACAAAGTTAATCAAAAGAAAACCATTGTTATTAACTCATAAAAAAAATCCTTCATTAGAACTCTAGTTCTAAAACACCAAAAAGCAACCCTTAAACGACCAACAAAAAAACCCTAATTTGGATTCTCGAAGACAGCCTTCGAGATCCTCTTACTCACCGGTTTCTTTATAGAAGTAAACCTAGTATTGGAGTCGATCGCGAAGCAAATCTTACCACTCTCTACGTGCCTAAACATGGAAATAATTAGAAAATCACAATGCTTCATGAGATCATATTTGGCCACAAACTCTTTCCATCCTGAAGTCAAAACAGGGGTATCTACATTCCACATCTTGAACTTCATCCCTTGAACCTCTCCGTCTTGTCCGTAAACCGAAACATCGAGCCCTTCTGTTCCGCGACTAATGCAACTAATCTCTGAATCTTTCAAAAGAGGAAGCATCCTCGTCCTCACTAGCGTCTTCCCTAACATGAGCCTGCTTTGATCATTCTTTATATCGCTTTCCCTCAACTGCTTCCTTATCGGTTCGCTGAATCCCTCATTAGCAACATGGATGATTATATCTCCGAAATCGGGCTTAATTTTCTTCCACTCGAGCAACTTAATCAGGGTTTCTTCGGAATCGTCTTCCTCCAATGCAGATTTTTTCATAGGCTGGTTTGTTTGATTTAAATACTGGTTTTTATCAGCTTTCCTCTTCTTAGGTTGAATTTGGTGACCTTCGCTTGCTTGTAAGGTAACCTCATGATCTATAGGGTTTTCTTTTGGTGACTGTTTTTTATAGTGTTTGCTTAATTCGAATAATATGTACGCAGCTTCAACATCTGATGTCGAAGTACACATGATCTCTCTCGCCTTTTCTCTTTCTGTATCTGTTTTTCGTTGCCTTAAGCTACAATGTTGCTATTAGGGGTTCCTTTCTTCCTATTTATGAATGCATAAGTGAATAAATTTCCTTTTATATGCCACTTTGGTTACCTTTTATTTTTTCCATTTCGGTAAATAGTCCTCTTTTTCTTATATACATAAAAAAAGTTAAGCGGTTACCAAATTTAATTGGATGGTGTTTTCACATCTCTACCCTAAGATATATGTCAGCTACAAAAAGGACCTAGTATTCACGCGTAAGCGTAACCTTAGATTTTTTAAAAATAGTCTCCCTCCCTTGTCGACCTATCGCGAAGAGCATGAGCGACGTAGAGACAGGAAAAGAGCACGCAGTTGTGACCCAATTCTTACTGGTTACTAATGTCCCGGACTGTTGTGTTCCATTGCGGGATTGGCAACCACGTGAGTACTGATCTGATCCCATAATTAGACTTGAACTTGTTTTGTTCTTTATGAGATTAAAATTGTTTATGCGATCTCCGTTTTGTTAAACCCCGCAGAACCTTTCACATGCGATCTCTTTTTTTTTTATAAAGTTTTGGTCTCTCTCTACACTCTTCTTTTAGATTCTCATCATTTGTCTTAAATGGTAAAATAGATAAATGAGTGTGTTACATCCGATTTTTCTTTGAATTAGCTTGGAGATCCATGGTAATTTTTGTCAGGCCGCGTGATAACCAGAGGGACATGAAGAAGCTAGAGGAAAATCTAAGATCTATTCCAATGGAAGGAGTGATTTGGGGAGAATGTAAGAGTTGGTTTGCACCTTTCTAACATCTTCAATATGTTTCTAAATATGGGAATGTATACTAATAGTTTTATGAAATCACTTAGCAAAACTTATCCCAATTGGTTATGGAGTCAATTTGTTGTGGATCATATCCTACACCGATGAGGACCATGTGTATGGCGACACCCTTATCGATATGTATGATGATCATGTTTTCGGGGACTGCAGCAGTGAGACTTCCGGCTTATACGAATGTGAGTTTGTGTTATACACTGTTCGCTAAAAATGTGAAGACTGAAGTTGCATGCATTTGATCTTTCATTCGGATTTTTCTGTAACTGCGAATCATCAGATCTAATTCTTATCAAGCCGAATGACGACAAGGTCCATATGAAGAAGCTAGAGGAAGCTGTTAGATCCATTAAAGTGACAGGGTTGTTTTGGGGACCATGTACGTTAGTGAAACTCTCTCCATATAAATATTTCTAAAATATGGGTGAGTTCACTTATAAATATATCCTCTCAATGTTTTATTACAGCAAAGATTGTCACAGTTGGTTATGGAATCAAGTTGTTGGGAATTGAGTGCATGGCCATTGGAAATCTTGTGCGTCCTGTAGGCTATGTGAGTCTCAAAACTATTGTCAAAGAGCAGATAAACTCCTTGAATCTAAAATTTTCTATATATAAGTTTAATAATTCCAAAGATGTTCTGCTTGTGTATATCATGAGGTGAAGTCAGGGGTATCGCAACATATGAATCTGATTCTAAGGTACTCAATTGTTTGTTTATATGTCCATAATGGTTTTCATGGATCATGTTTGGTTGGCTCTTATATTATATAGTTCGTACAATATTGCTTCAATCACATTTATAGGATGATGAGGATGATTATTTTGACCTTTTCGGGGAAGAGAGAGGAGGTTCTTTGAAAGCATCCACAAAGAAGATCCAATGTAAGTTTGGTTTTGTACACTCTTCGTCTACATTTGTCTTAAAATGGTCAATAGATAAATGGGTTTGTTGTATCGGATTTTTTGTTTGGACAGTTGGTAAGTCAGGGTTATTGCTTCGTAAGGTGTATGGTGAGGACATAAACAAGGCCAAGGAATCTGTAAGATCCTTTAAGAAGGAAGGAGTAGTTTTGGGAACAGGTAAGTTGATATATCACTTACACCCTCAAATATATATATTTTTGAATATTGAGCGGATTTACGCTATAATATCGCTCGATTTTGACAGCAAGGATTGTCAATGCTGGCAATGGATTCAAGTATCTGCGGACCGTATTCACCATCCAATTAGAAAATGATGACCATGTGTGCCTCAACACCTTTTTTAGAAGATATTACTCTACAATCGCTTTGAAATGAATATGAAGTATTCAAAATCCATTTTTAAACTCATTGAAGCAATAAGTTTTTTATATACTATACGCTAAAGATGTTTGTTTTGTTGAATCTTGGCTTGAATAATAATACTCCAAGCTTTTAATATAGTGTGAAAATCTTCTTTTGCTACCGCTCAATGAATTTGATATTTTATCATCATCTCTTTGTTTCTCTTATGCGGTTTGAATGAAGACAGGTCGAGTATTTCTCTCCGACGAATCTCATAAATTAATAGACAACTAAAGTGAAGAGATAACAACAACAAAAAAGAACTTAAACCAAAATTGTTCAGAATTTCCAAGAACGAACCATGATTTGCTTTGTAACTCTTAAACAAAGTTTACTTTACTTCTGATAACATGGAGTGTGTGTTTGTACATGATCATGAAACTTTCTAAAACTTCATTGCTCGACTTACATAATATGTTTCTTGTAGATTCGGTTCCACAAAAGTTTGAAAAGTTAGGCTTGGTATGGCTACACAATACTCATAGTCATAGCGTAAAACAAAAGTCACACAAGTCACAAGAGCGATGTAAAAACAATGGTTTCCTTTAAAATCCTAGTATTAATTCGAAAATCAATAGATTGGTCAACAGTCAACACAATAGAATTGCATTGTCAAACAGAAAACAATCTAATGAATTGCATAGTTTTAGCATGATGCTTGCAGTTGCAGGTGATATTTATCAAATTGATTTTGCTTGAAGTTAAGAGATAATAATGATATAAAGAGTTAAATTGGGAAATCCTATAAAAATTAATGAAA